TGGTACTGGACACTTAGCCAGCTTCCAGCAATAGTGAAGTCATGAACTTTGGAAAAGAATCTACTACAGCTGCCACTTTGCTAGACCAGCACAATTCTTTACTAACATTCTAAATTTTATCCTTACACTCAGAGATAAGTGTAGCTACCATCCCCCATCAAAAATGCCTTTCTTGCCAGGTGTTGGTGGCACAAGCCTTTAATCCCAGCACTCCGGAGTCAGAGGCAGGCAAATCTCTGAGTTCAAGGCCAGCCTGGTCTACAGAGCTAGTTCCAGGACAGGCTCCAAAACAACACAGAGAAACCCTGTCTCAACAAACAAACAAACAAACAAACAGACATACAAACAGATAGACACAACAAAAAGGTGCCTTTCTTTACAGCAAAGGGAGACTATCAGAGAAAACAACTGTACATAAAGCAGAGATCAACAGGTTGTGATGGATACATCTACATCTCAGTTGGCTATGACTCAGGGAACATCACAGAAAAAAAATGGGACAGAAAGATGCTAAGAGCCAATCTTTCCTACAAATGGCTGCATAAGCAAGACTGGAACAATAGTATTATCAAGGGACATGCTAACATGGAAGGAAGAATTTTGTGGGGGGGTCTCATGTCTAGACAAAGAACTACAGCTTTCAGACCTTAGTAAATTCTCTGTGCAGTTAGTAGTTGTTAATGTAGAAACTTAGAGCTAGTCAAAGTGCAGAGAGTAAGTAGATTAGGGTCATCCATGATAGCATCTATCTTCTGCTAAAATCACCTTTGGGGGCAGCAAGATGGCTCAGCAAGTGGAACTCAATCCTGATAGCTTGAGTTCAATCCTTAGGGCTCTTATAGTAGAAGAAGAGAATCAGCTCCTTCAAGTAGTTCTCCGACACGTGTGCATATACAATAAATGTAATAAAAATCTATAAAGTTGTCTTCATAGGTTTTAGGGAGTAGGACTTCAGTAATGTGGGAGCCATTCAACAGTTCAACCTATAGCCATACTCCATAGGTCAATGGACAGTGTCATTAACTAAAGTTTATTATTTACACTAGGCAGGAATATCTTTAACATTAGCTGTGCCCAGTTTGGACCTTTATGAACAGGTGTGTGTGTGTGTGTGTGTGTGTGTGTACTTTGGTACATGGTTGATGCACTCAGGATGGCACATGACCCCTTGTGGGTACAAAAGGATAGATCACAGGGCTTGGGTATGATACATGACCGTTGATGGGCACACCGAGGTAGACTGCAGCCTTGGGTGAAAATATTGTTAGTATTCAGGCATCTGCACTGGCCTGTCCATGGGGTTCTTACAGGATACGCCTTCAGCTGCAGCCACTAAGAGCATCACCTGTGTATATTCACTATGTTCCCTTTTAAAGGGGCCCTGCCCACCTCCCATTCTCTCTTTACCTGTTTCTTCCTCTGTCTGTTTCCCTCTCTCTTTCTGTCTGTTCCTCTCGCTGTGTCTCTGTCTGTTTTTCCCTCTCTCTGTCTGCCTGTTTCTCTCTCTCTGTCCTTTCCTCTCTCCAGTTTTCATCTGTTCCCCCCCATCCTCTTTTCTCTCTCCTCTCTCCTGCTGTTCCTGTCTCCGGAGGCTGGTCTCCCCCTTCTCCTTCCCCTTTTATTACCTTTTCCCTAATTAAAAAAAAAAACCCTCAACTTTCCTGGATGATGCCACACCCTCCTCAAGCCACCACAGTGAAGCATACTTCTACCCAGAGTGCACCAGTGTTCTTGCTCCCCATCCTCACCTACACACACCATCAGGCTTTTTAGGGTTTATCTGTTTCAGGACAGTGAGGGTCTCCGTGTGGTTCATGAGTCTGGGCCCCTTTCTCTAGATTCTGACCACTTATCGCTTTCCTTTGGAGTGAATCTGCTGACGTTCAGATGTGGAATGTACCCAAATGTGCCTCTATACTAAAGGCTTGGTTTCTAGTTCCACATTGTTAGGTAGTTGATCCTTTAGGAAGCAGAGCCTTATAGAGGCGGTTAGGTCAGGGGGAATGCTCTTGAAGGGGATTGTAGTATGCTAACCTCCTGTTCTTCCTCTCTTTAACGTCCCATCCCATGATGGATCCATTTTGATACTTATCGTTGCCATGATGCTTGTGTTGCTACTTCCCCAAGCAAATGGGACCAGGCAGTCATGGACCAGAATCTCCAAAGCCATGAGTGAAACAGCCCCATTCTCTTTATGAGCTGGTTTTCTCAGGTGTTTGCTGCAGTAATAAAAAGTGGGTCACTCAGTACCCACTCATTATTTTTGTTCATTTCTTCAAAGGACCACCGTTTTATTGATTTGTAAGAGCTCTTTACATGTTCCAGGAATACACTTCCCACTACCTTGCTCCTTAGGACATTTTCCAAATCATGTGTTATAGTGAGCACTAGGCAAATCAGTCTCTAGTTACTGATGTTCTGCACAGCTCCTCCTAGGTTTGGGTGTCTATAAAGCTTGGCAGAGCAGTTAATGGCTCCACGGATGTGGTGTAGTGGCTGCCTCAGTCCTGGGGCATCATCTACATGGCGTTCCCTTGTTTTCTCAAAGTGCTTGTTCATATTACTCATCTCTGAGAGCTTTGGCTCACCCTTGGCCCTCATGCTGCCTTCTTCTCTTGTGCTGTGCAGGGCATAGTGTGATCAGCCCAAAGCAGGAGGCTGGGAAGTGAAGGATGGTGAGTAGTTCTGGCCCCGTGTATGTCCTGAGCCACTGGCATTGGCTAGTGCACCCCTCCCCAAGCCCCTGAGCATGCACAACTGTATGCATAGCTACAGAGTGGCTTGTACTACAGACAGTGACCACAATTAATGAGGAATTGATCTACCACCTTGAGGCAGCTATGACCAACATCCTGGGCCTCACAGGCAGTAGGCCCTGGCAGTGAGGCTTCTGCTCACTGTGTGGATCTGGGGTCAAGGTGGATTCTCTAATCATTTTTTTAGAGGACCAAAACCTGAAGGAAGTGAGGCTGTTGTTTTGGGATCTGGCAGTGGTCATGTTCTATCATGGGCTATAGGGAGACTGTTGTATCGTCATGGTGTTGATGACTACATGACTTGTCACAAGTCACATTAAGGATATTGCACTAAACCAAGCGTAAGGAGACTGATGGAGGTTTCCTTTAGGTGTGGCTTGGCCAACCAAAGTCCAAGGACTTGCTCTAGTCACAGAATAAAATAAACCTAGAGGCCCATTCAGAAGATCCTGGGGTTTGTCTCTGAAAGGGGATCTCAGGCAGCTGTCATGGTTGGGCCAGGGGTCCTGAGTCTGGATGTGGAGGGAGCCGATAGGATGCTGATGGGAGGACTGGAGGACAGTGGGCGGTAGACACATGCCCTTCTGAGATGAGCAGGTTAGTGCCACATACATCACAGGGGTATAGACCTGGACCAGGGTCAATACTACAGCTAGCAACCTGTGAGGATGTCCCACATATGAACTTACTCCAGGGTTTGGAGAGGGAGATGTAGAGGCGCATGAGGGATGTAAAGTGGGGTAGGGGACAGACTGAGGGGTATTTGGATGAAAGAGTTCTCTCTGGGGGGAACTGGACCCACCCCTGTTCCCCAAGTAGGAGTGGGTAAGCTGGATGCTATACATTAACAGCCAAGAAACACATGGATGAGCCTGTTTCCAACATATATTTCTTTTATTGTTTGTAAGGACCCATACGAGGTACTGACTATGGAGACAAAAACAGACACTGACAACACCTGGATTTCTACACAGAGCCACTCCTCAGGGAGAAGGAAATCTGATTCTTCTCAGCTACACTGCAGTCTTGAAGCCCATAGCCCTGCATTTCCACCTGGTAGCACACTCAAATCCCTTATGCCAATATCTATTTGCAGAAGATGCCTAAGTTTGGCTCCCCCAGACAGACATATGGTATCATTTCCATGGGATACAGGCCAGGCCAAAGTTCACATTTATTAGATCAAAGGAAATTCATGACATCCACTTTTCACTCCAGGGGCTAAAGCCCTGTGAGAAGGTGGTTCTTGACCTACTTTCTTCCTATGGTATTGCTAATTGCTCTTGTAAACAGAAACAGGGACATCGGCAAAACAGATTTGAACAAACTAACCTTGAATTTGAGTAATTTTGTTCACACATACATATGATGTTAAAAAGCCATTTATAACATGGATAATGTCCATTGATGTGATAGACTCTGGAAAATCAAACCCAAAGATCAGGCAAGGCTCTAGGCCAAGAATATGATTTTTTGCTTTGGGACCCCTGTGCAGAGCAGGTGTCCAGAAATTGTAACACACTGGCTGTGAGGAGCACACTTTCTCTGTGGCCTGGAGTTCCATACTGAAGTGACCACAAAGCTGAGCAGGCCTCCCAGGGGCCAGGAGTAAAGGTTGTATCCCAACCTTAGTTCATGTCTATTTATCTCAGCTATAAAGAAAGAAAAAAAAATATAATCTGTGGTCACTTTTTACCAAATACCTTGTCCTCCATGGCTCAGAACAGATTGTGTGTGTGTGTGTGTGTGTGTGTGTGTGTGTGTGTGTGTGTATATGTGTGTATGAAAGAGAGAGATGTGTGAACAGGATGCTAAGGTCATGGTATCTGTCCAGAGCCAAGCACCAGGAAAGCCTTGGTATGTATTGACTGTCTTTCCTACCTTCTATGCAGCAGACAAAACAGGATGCTTGACACTGTAAATATGAGCAAAAGAAATGATCTAGGCAGCTATTGTAAGCACAAGGATTCTGGCACAGTGTATATACAAGTACCAAGGTCCCTTTCCTAGAGTGCAGGGGACAGTAAGACCTGTTCTCCCAGAGTGACCACAGATGGGGAAGTCAGCCTTGCAGGGACAGGATACCAGGCAGGTTTTTTCCATTCAGTAGGGACAGGGACATGGTTGACCTCACTGTATAAAGATATATGTTCTTTCAGCTACATACATACAGAGGCTTCTTTTTTTGTAGCATGGATTGGGTGTGTGAACAGTCAAATATTGAAGCCCGTGCTCTGGTTATTTTTCCATACAGCAAACGGGAAGGGTGGAAGTGGCCCTCCTTTCTTGATGCTTGGGTTTTTCCTTTAGTGAGCTCCCTGTCCCTGCTGTTGTGAGATGGCCCATTTGGCTGCTGTCTCCTTCCACTTTACACCAACAGCCAGTGGCGCAGCTGGAAAGAAAGCATCATTTATTCAGATGTGAAGAGTAGACCTTAGAACCATCACTTATGGGCCAGTGGCCTTATGATGAAGTCAGGATTGATTCAACAACCCAACACAGGTGGCAGCACTCGTCCATGGGGTGCTTACCACTGATGGGTGACAATCTTCAGGGGCACCAAGAGCCAATGGCCCAGTGTAAACTTTTAAGTACTGAATTACTCGATGAGAATGAGGCACAGAAACCAGGAGCAGTGGCTAATGTCTGTAATCACAACACTCAGGAAGCTGAAGCAGGAGGATTGTTATGAGTTTGAGGCTAGTCTGGGCTGCAGTAAGATCCTGTCTCAACAAAAAAAAAAAAGGCAGAATAAAGCCAAATAAAACAGAACCAACATAACAAGAAATAGTGGGTCTCCGTTGCTTAGAAGGCCAGAGGACTGGCCAGCATGCTTGTGACCAGCACTTGAAGTGAGGTTTGCAGGACATCGTTAGATCGGGAGCTGGCTCCATATCATCCTCACACTCAATTGTGAGTGGCCCAGCAGTGGCCTCCCACCCTGCATGCTGAAACTGTCAGGTCCATCCTAGGGGGTGCTGCACTCCAAAGCCTGTTCTGCTGGGCATGGTCCAGGGCAAGTGGAGAGTGCAAGGATTTGTTCAGGATCGAGACCAGCAGCCTGCTGCCCTGCTGCTTGCTCAATCCATTTGTGATCATGAGCCCTCTGCTGACACTCTCTGACTGGAGAGTTCTGTGCTGCCAAATGTTTTCCAAACAAGGCTCGTAAGACTATTGTCTGACACATTGGGCCATTGCTGCCATAGGATAATCTCTTTGTTGTCCTCTCAAATGGCTCTTTGGGGGCTTCTTTGGTCCTGGTCTGAACATGCCACAACATGGCCTGAGGTGGCAGGGCCTAAGGCCGTCTTCAGGTTAGGCCAGCACAGGCACTGGGCTAGTGTGGCAATGGAATAAATAGAAAAATAAATAGAATTCCAGCTGAAGGCACACAGAGGTTTCCCAGAACACAGAATTCTGTTCAAGTGCAGCAGCTCTGGGGACAGCTTCACCCCCTCTTGTCCTTGTCCCCAACAGAATTGGGTGTATAGGTGATACTTGGAGAAAGAAGGGCACAGGGTGACTTATTTTTTCAAAAACTGGAACACAGAGCTTTGAACAAGGGTCATCAAGAACCAGAACCCAGAACCCAGAGCCTGGAGTTTAGAGCCCAGGACCGGAGATGCTGATGCTGCAGCTGGCACAATATAACACAATTGTGTATGGGATACTAGAAAAAGAAACTGACATGCGTGAGTCTAGAGAAATATGCTTTACTGGAGCAAATGAGGCTCAAAACGTACGTAGCTATCAGAGGAGTGGATATGATTAGGGAGACAGGGCTAAATTATGGGCTGCTGACATAATGGAATTATTACTGATCAGAGTCACACCCAGATACCTGATTGAAGGGGAATAATAGGGCTGAAGTTACCATCTGAAACAGCCCCCCCTCCAGGTGAACACCACAGGTGTCCATGGGGTTTGCAAGACACTGGACATCAGATGGCCATGGTTAAGTGACACCTGAGGAAGAATGAAGGAGGCAATGCTGCCTTGAGGGCCTCTGGACTGGGGCTGGGTCAGTGCCTGCCCCTCCAGCCCAGGTCTATGCTGCCACATAGAGACAGAGAAATGTCAGTGCCCTTTGGGACCCACCCAACAGATCTTAAAAAGCACACCTCCAAAGATGCAAGGAGCTCCAAGAATATTTAAAGGTATTGAAAATATTCAGCCAGGTGTGGTGGCTCATTCCTTTAATGCCAGCATGCAGAAAGCTGAAGCAGGTATATCTTAGTGAGTTTAAGACCAGCCTGGTATGTATAGCAAGTTCCAGACTGGCAGAGTTACATCGTGAAACCCTGTCTAAAATAAAAACAAAACCAAAAACAAATATCTGATATTTAGGAGCCCAGCAGGGGGCTCAGTAAAGTGCTTGCTTTGCTAGCATGAGGACCTGGGTTCAATCTCAGGAATTTGTGTAGAAATGACAGGCACAGTCCTAAGGGTGACACCCAGACTATCCTAGGGAATTTTTCCAACCTCCACAGGCACACACACACACACACACACACACACACACACACACACACACACACACACACACACTGCCTTGCACCCCAATGTGCACACGTGCACACACACACACACTAAAAATTATCTAGGATATCTAGGGTACAATAAGAAAAAGCCACATACCTTGGCTATTATTAAACTTTACCAGAAACAAAAAGCAAAATTAAAACAAACAAAAAAGAAGCTCTAGTGAGCACTGACCCCGACTGACAGCAAAATTCAAATCTCCGGTAATCTCACTGTGTTTGTTCAATAAATAAAGAAAGGTAAGAGGAGGCATAAGAGATATAAAAACCAAAAACAAACCGCAAAAGAAGAAAACTGTGACAGGCAAGAGGGTAAGCCTTCTGCACAGGTTCACAGAAAATTACACACTCCAGAAAAACATGGATTGATTTTAAAATGAGTGGATGGATCAATGAAGGCAGAGGAAATTCCCAGTGATTCAGTAAGCACAGAAGCATGGGCAGGGAGTTACATCAGAAAACATCCAAAGGACAGAGGAAAATTCAGGGAGTGAGCAGATATGTTTGGACCAGTGACCACAGCCATTGAAGTCCAACTATGAAAGCATCCAAGTGTAGATAGGCGTCCCAAAGGACCCAGGCATATACTCTAGAGTCCAGAGGTAAATAGAAGAGTAAATCATAGCTGTGAAGGGCCTTAGGACTGGGTCTGCGAGCTTTCAGGACACTGGCAACATGAAAGGGTTATAGACACTTGAAGGTGGAGAGTCTCTTTTGCGAGCTCATTAAGGAGATGTCTCAAGGACTTGTTTTTGAGAGCCCAGAAAATGATCCTGCAAGGGAAAACGCACACCGAAAATGTGGCAAAGTCACACGCAGAAAGTACACGTGAATCCCAGGGCATGGTTTGCCCAAAGCTTAATACTATAAGCTCACAGCAGCAATCTCTAACTTGTGGGTTAGAAAGAAGGTCACGGAACATAAGACAATGACCGGGTAACCAGTAGCATGGTTTAAGTCATTGTAATTGATGTTCAAAAGGTGAGCTGAGATTATTAACTTTGGACTTTGAGGGAAATGTTTGTCACCCTCGAAGATAATTATTTAAAGAATTAAAATACGCAGGTTCCAAGCAAGTGGCAACAGATGAGTGGAGTAAGAAAAAGCAAAAAGCTTAATCAACAAAAAGGCATTAAGGAGGAAAATAAACAGGAAACAGGACAAACAATTTAAGGGAGTAAGATGAAGCTCCCTTATCTGTGAGCAGTTCAGTCGGTATGTTAGGGTTGCAAAAGATACCTAAGTCTTAGGAACACTGAGAAAGCGAAAGGGATGGTTTTACACACAGAGATGCCAGGTGCAGCTACCTTCACCATCAGAACGCTGTTAAAGGAGGAATAGCCTCTGAACGACATGCAGGCTCACAGCACATGCCGCCTGCCTGTGTGACACAAGAACTCACCTGGCTCTCAAAGGAGAGAGGAAAGAAGTGAAACCAGGGACTGGAGGGACCCCTCTCTTTCATTGACACCTCCCAGCCTGCCGGCTTCCTCCATGGACATCTGCCCGAGTTTGACTCCACCCTTTCTCAGTTTGGCCTCCCTGCCCTCAGGTATCCTTGATGGACATTCAACTAACTCCAAGCTTTTCCAGCCCTCCTGGCTGTTCCCTGAGTTACTTCAGGCCCTCTTGATGGAGAATGTGCACACAACACCCTCTGTCTCATGATCCTTTCCTGGCCATCTCTCCAAGAATGGAGGGTATAGATCCTATGGATTCTCACACTTGTCCCCACATGACTCTTCACATCATGCAGCCATCTCTGCCAGTGTCACCCTGGCTGCTCGTCTTCATGAACTTCTACTTGCTGCCTGCCCTGTCCACACTCTAGGGCTTCTGGGTAGTCCTGGCCAGCATCGAAGATCTGCTGGTGTAGCAAATTCTTTTCTGTACAGAGCTTCCTGGTTTCCTGGGGCTGAGAGAGCAGCTGTGGGTACTATGAGTGTTGGAGCAGTTAGAGGACACTTTTCAAGTCTCTCTGAATTCCCTCCCTGAGAGTTGAACAGGGTGTCAGACTCACCGTGAATTGGCGCACCTCCCCTCTGTCCACTAGCTGCCGGTCTTTCTCAGGTGTGATGGCATAGGCCAGTTTCTAAGAGAGAATGGGGTTATTGGTATGGCATTGGGACCCAGGTTGGCACAGACCAGCCAGCAACCACTGTAACAATGAGGATTTCCCTCAGAGGAATCAGGCTCAGGAGCTACAACCTCAGGGTCTTAGCTCTGAGTGAGAGCAAACCAATGCCACTGTGGTGTACCGTGGGTGCAGTGCTAGATGAGAGTCCCTCAGTGGATGCATACTGGTCCCTCAGGGTTTGTTACTTATGTTCTACATGAAGTATTGCGTCCTTCTACTTGCCTGTTCTTAGAGCCTAGACGTCACCTGGGCCTCCAGAATAGATTTCAGGCCCCAGGGTTGACCTTGATTCTCAGTTGGACACTGGCAGCCCAAAATACTTCTAAGTTTGGCATCAGAAAGGCTGTGCTCTGACCACATACGCTGCTTCTGTTCCAGACTCAGTACAGTCTATTTGACGAGGGACCTCAGAGTGCCAGCCTGTGAGATGAGGGACCTGTGGCAATATCTAGCACCAAGGGACACTGTCCATGGGCCCCACAGGTACAAAGGGCTTTGCTGCTCAATCCAGGGAAACTGCTTCAAGCAGCCCCTGAAATTCAAATGTAGGATGGTCTCATAAGTTCTTATTCTTCCAGGAATAGGAGCCAGGGAGGGTCAACCAGGACATGTAAGCACAGACAGGTATCATCCAGACACATGGATGCACAGAGGCAAAGCATAAAGATACACTGGCACGCATTGCACACATAGACAAATAAGTAGGTATGCATAGTCAGTCACATCTGTGGTATGGACACACGTGCTGCACAAGTGTGCACACGCACAGCCACATATGTGGGCACACCAGCACACACAAATACAATTATGGCATACACATACATGGCCCTCCTTTCTGCTGCGTCGACCCATCATCCCATCGTGGTCCCACCTCCAGCCTCCTGCTGGCTGACATGGTCCAGGGATGGGGAGACCGGAACTATTAGCATGAGGGGACCCCTTGAAGACACCCACCTCTCGGAAGGACCCTGGCAGGCTGCAGAACTTATAGGTGGCATAAATGGGCACCATGGCCATGGAGGATGTGGCAATGATCCAGCCCAGTGCATTGGCCCAGTCTGGAAAGATGTAGTCTCCATAGTGTGGGGGTCTGAAGGTCACAATGCTGACCACAACCACATACTGAAAAAAAAAAGGGCACAGAGGTAGGTGTGAAGGTAGAAGAGAAAAATCCACAAGAAATCTACAGAAGGTCTCCTAGCCACACAAGCCACAAGTGCCAACCCCAGCCAGGCTACCTGGGCCTAGCCCAAACAATACAACATCTTCCTGAGGTACTAATGGTACACATACACACATTCTCTGTAACTACACATGTACTTCATTTCTATACATAAGTGTGCTTACATGTGTGCCTACCAGACTGCTTGTGCCTATACTGCACACCAATACATGTACTGTGTATTTACACCCTATGCTTGCATGTGTACAGTGTACCTAAACATGTGCTTAATACCACACCTGTACTTTGTACCTACACATGATTGCCACGAACTGCATACTTATACATGTTCTTTGGACCTGGACTCAGTAGCCCTTCCTAAACATATGAAGTCCAGGAGGATGTGCAGTAGGATGCATTTTTGGGTACAAATCCTCACTTGTTGTGTATTTTTCAGGTCTGTAAAGATTACTGTCCAACCACATCAACTTGGAAAATTCATTTGGACACATATACCTCACACTTTCTTTGTTGTTGCTCTTTCAACAGATGACACGTTTCCCAGAAAGCACTGTGTTTGCCAAAGCCACATTCCAACATGTAAGTTGATTTTGATCTGGTCAGTTTGTTTGGTCGTGTGATCTGCTGCGGAGGCCACATAATAACATGCCTGCAGTGTGCACTGTCTTCTGTGGCAGTGATAACACAGTGACTTAGAGAAACATGAGGTAACATTTTTTTTCTGCTAAGGTCATAGCTTTATATGTAATGGGTTTAAAATTAGGTTTAAGATTATATAAATTATGCTTCCCTGAAGTTGGTGGAATGAACTGTCCAGCATAATTTACACATCTTATCTTATACGATGAACCAATATAGAATGAAACTCAAAGATTTCATTGTGTCTCCTAAGATCAAGGTCAGCTCTTTCATGCTGGGGAGGGGGCTTGTCAACAGGGAGTAGATAGGTTAAAAAGGGATCAACTGTTTCAGTCAGAGACAAGAAGCCAGTGCTGTGGGGGTTCCCAGGAAGGTCTCCCTCCATTGATGCTGGCTGTATTCTACCCATGACCAACTGAGTGGGTGCAAGTTTCCCTCAGGCTGCAGAGGGCTGTGATTTGGCTTGTGTAGCTATATATATCATACATCACTATTAATTGCTACATGAAGCCAGGTAAGCTCTCTGACATCTTTCTCAGTAATCTCAAGGAATTGGGATGGATTCAAGGGCAGAGGCAGGAAGTGTTAGGGCCCATGGTTCTTACCAGGAGGAAACAAGGGCTGACCAGCTTCCAGCATAGCCGCCAGTACAGGTTGGGCCTCTGGCCTGTCATCTGCTTGATGTCATCGCTGAATTGTTGGACGCCTAAGGGAGAAGAGATAGCTGTGGGACTGATGAGGAAACTGGACATATACAGGTTCTTCTTGACACTAAGGGGCCTCGCCTCTTAAACCTTATATCTCCTGTTTTATCCAGCCACGTGCTAATTGGCTCTGATGATGCTTCAAAGAGGCCTGTGGCCTGCTGGGTGAATTGAGGGCCCAGCAATATTCCATCCCTACCCTGCTGCTGTTTCTTCTCCAGGTCCCACAGTCTCCCTATCTTCTTCTGCAAGCAGTAATCTCACAAAACACATCCAACACAAAACTCACTATTTGGAGGGTCAACTTAGTGGCTGCATCACTACCTTTCATCTTCAAATTTTTTCTCATCTTTCCTAACTGAAACTTGGCCCATTCAACTCTAACTCCCACCCCAACACTTAGCATTGCACCTTGTTTCTAAGAACTTGGTCTCTTTAGGGATCATATATAGGTGACATCACTGTATATGTCTTTGGGGGACTTGCTTGCTTCAGTTAGCATAGATGTCATCCATGTTGGAGAATATGCCAGAATCCCTTCCTTTTTAAAGGCTAAATATTCCAGTGTGTATGTTTGTGTGCATGCATGTGCATGTAATGCTTTTTAATCTAAAGCTATCTCTAGACATTTAATAACTGGTATTTCTCCCAGAAGTATAAACTAGGAATGTCTTTCTTTAAGCACTATTATTCAGCTTTTCTTATTCAGGAATTGGTAAAGAGATCTTAACAGTGACTCCCTTCATCTGCTTCTGGCCTAGTCTCTGGCTCATGGGACTGCAGTGGGGTGCCCAGCTTTAAAAAGCTCAGCAGACCTCATGGTCTCATCAGAAAGTCTTTTACTAGAGCTCTGGTCAAGGTCTCCTGCTTAGAGCTCCAGTCAGATCCCGGGACACCATTAGACCCTCACTACAGCAAGAAGACTGAGTTGGGTGGGAAAGAGTAGACCCCAGTCAAGTATGTGAGGTCCCCAAGATCATGCAGCTCAGGACCCACCTCCATCCAGCTCCTAGAAGGCCTGTGATCAGCTCCAGACCTCCAGGGACTCTTAGCATATAACTAGCTGATAGGCTATTCTCATAGGAGGACCTATGGTTCTAACTTATGTTCAAGTAACTTGGTGTGAAATGCACCTCTAGGAAGTGGCCATGGTTTGGCATCCCTCTCACAGATCAACTGAATTGTACAATCAAGCTCCCTACAATGACAAGTAGGCTAGACTCTGCCCAGATGGGGCTGAAGCTATTCTGTGCTTGCTGGTAGGGTCCTAGCTAGCTGGTATTTTCTTTATGCCAGTTTGTTATGAAGGGCCCTGTGTTAAGTAAGTCTTACACTCCCATACAACACAACCTCTCTGAACATCTCTGACTACAATATGGCTTCCCAGGTAGCCACTTTGATGTCCTTCTTGATCCAGTAGACAGGCCATGAGAGCCAGGACTTAAACTTCTGGAGTCCAGTAGAGTCTAAATGCCTCTCTTCAGAGTGGTTTTGCCAGAAAACAAGCCAGAAGACATTATCTTAGCTGACACACTGATGTCACAGTGCTGGTCTGACCACCAAGACTTACCATAGAACCAGGCCACCCCAATGGCTTCAATGAGCACACCGAAGAGGATGGATGTGCCAGCTGCAAAGTGGTCAAGCAGTGTGAATACATAGATGCCACCCTGGAAGAGAAGGATCTCCCGATGAGCCTGGGAACATCAAAATATTCTCCCAAAAAGGTAACCTATTCTGTTGGTTCACTCTGGAGATATATCCTATTTACCCCCAATAAAGTTTGATTTGAGTCATGGATTTACACACAGCTTCTTAGGGAAACATCCTAGATAAATAAAATAGAAACCACCTCTCCCTTGCTCTCCCTTCCCAGGATTCAGATACCAAGGGACAGAGACACTTGAATGCCAAGCTTGGTGGTTATCTCCTGTGCAAAAGTAGCCAAGACATCAGAGACAGGCCTCTGCCACTTTCCAGCCTCCCTCCACCCCCAAGAAAGCAGGTTCTGTATGAGGGACATTCTGGATGCTGTCCAAGTGCTGAATTCTCTCTGGGACCAAGTTCCAGATCTGTATTTGCCCTGCCTGTGACTACAGGGAAGTAGGTTTATTTGAGGGAAGAGGATGAAGCTTCTTAGAAATGATGAAGTGTGTCTGTTCCCATGGCATCAGCTGTGCAGCCAGGCACCAGGGCTGACATGACAGGAGCAGGCAACTACATACGTTGGTGACGCAGAAGAGAGACAGCAGGAAGGTGGCCAGGACAATGCCAAGAGTAAAGAGCTCTCGGTGCCGATGTAGTAGCTGGAACTCGTCAACAAGTCCAGTGATCACAGACTCCATTCCACCCATCTGCAGGACACAGAGAATGGTGGTTGACATTACTCTCCCAGTGCCTGCCTTCTCATAGTGAGTGTATACTCAGGGTGGGTGTGAAGAAGGAAATGTACAGAAGACTTGGGGTAAGACAAGAAGAGCCCTTGATGAGGCTTCCCTGCTGACATAGGCCTCAGGAAGATTCTATGGATGGCAGCCACGGTCACCTTGAAGTCCCTGGCCTGAGAGTCATATGAGAGTGATGGAGTAAATGCATGACCAAAACAAGGACTAGCCAGGTAGGGCCTGTGGTCTTCAAGCAATGCTCATGAGTATGCCATCTTGGATTCCAGACAAGAAACTCATGGACTACCATCTGGGTGTAAGATGGAGATGAGGGCTATGGTATAAGATACATGCTCTTGGGAACAGGGATTCCTGATTCAGGCTTTCCAGGAAGCATACAATTGCTGAGCTCTGCTAGGGTGGGTAAATGGTATGAGGCAGCCTAAAGCTGCCACCAGCCAATTCTGATATTAGGACTCAGTTAATGGTCTCGAGAAGTTGATGGGGCTGAAGGAGCCCAAGAGAACTCATTGGCTCCAGCCCATTTTAGGTTGGACACCAGGGGGCTGCAAAGAGTTTCCAAGGCCTAGCCTGGGCCATGTCCAGTCTCTATTCATCATTAGGGAATCCAGAAGTAAGGAAAGGCCTTGCTGTGCAGGGGTGACCAATCACTCTGCTATTATGGGCCAATCCTTTGACAACTGGGGCTCTGTTCTGTGTGTGTTCAGACCCCAATACTGGATTACAGAAGAGAAAGGTAAGTTACATTTCAACCACTACCACTCAGGTCCAGAGAGGGTCATGGTGATGTCCGAACCTGATGTGCAGGCTGTGTGCCAAGCACATGAGGTTTGAGGAACTGTTTGGGGTCATGCCTAGCCCTATAGGGGAAGCGTCCCCAGGAACAGGTCAACAATGAGGAATGACTGTGGAGCCTTGGGGCATGCATCACTCACAGCACTGTCGATACCCAGAGTGAGAAGCATGAGGAAGAACACAGCAGCCCAGGCCGAGGACAGCGGGAGTGTGGCAATTGCCTCAGGGTAGATGATGAAGATCAACCCAGGTCCTACAAGAACAAACCCCCATCACTGCCACAAGCTTGCTCCTTGCTTCCCCACTCACCACACTTGGAATTCACCACTGCCACAAGTTCGCCGCCTGATTCCCTACTTACCAGTTTGCTTTCTGTTGCCACACCACCCCATAAGGCCACCCAGCGGAGCCAATGCCAGCAATGCTCAGATCTCTTGGAACTCTCTCCCACAGCTTTCCTTCTGTTTCTTCTCAGGAGTCTTACTTCCTGAGAATTCAGCAGACACTGGCTGGGGTGCCCCAAAAGCACTTGGTAGATGGTCACCCAAAAGGTCTCCTGCTTAGCCAGCTTGTACCCTTGTTCCCCAACTCACACATGTCCACAAGAATGGGAAGAGTGAAAATAAAATGTGGATCTAAGATTGGCAAATACTTCTGCCTCAGACAATTCAAGATGTCTTTCCAGTTAGCTTTCCTGCACAGATCATGTATGCCCCACATATGTGCCCATACACACTTGCATGTGTACACACACGTACACACACACACACACACACACACACACACACACACACACACACACACATGCACACACACACAGTCTGGAGACTGAACTTAGGCCCTTATATTTTTGGGACAAGCACTTTGTCAGCTGAGCCATCTCCCCAGTTCATGTTGAGATTTAAAATAGATTGATAATGAGGTAATAGGGCCTTTAAGAGGTATTGGGTTATGGGGGCACCACCCTCTCGAAGAGATTGCTAATCTATGGAGATAGAGTTAGGTCTCTCAGAAGTGAGTGTCTTGGGACTGGTTTGATGTTACATTTTGGATGTAGAACTTTCTTATGACTCCTGTGTTGAAGATCTAGTCCACAGTTGCTGGTGTGTTGAAGGTGGGTGGATCTTGGGGAAATCAACATCACTGGTGGGTGAATTTATACTGAATGGGCTCTCCTGGGGGAAGGAGGTCATGTGTGGTGGCCCCAAACCCTTCTCTCCTTAGGATCTCAGCAGCTTGTCTCACCGTGATGACCCCACCATGATGTTCTGTCTTGCCACATGTCCAAAGTGATGACCAAAGGATCCTGGGCTCAGATCTCTGAAACTGAGTCCAAACAAGCCCTCTCTTTTTAAAAACTGATTTTCTTATGCATATTTTTTTTACAGTGATGGAAGGCTGATTAGTATAACTAATCACAAAAGAGTGGGCACTTACAAAGCAAAGCTATGTGGTTAGCCCACATGCACTGGCTCCTCCTCTCTCTTCCACCTGGAGGCCCTCGAGAAAGACACACTTATGGTTGCATGCTCTTAGACTTTTGTGAACTAAATTAACTTTCCTTTGTAAAGTCATCCAGCTTCAGATATTTTGTTATAGAATCAGAAAATGGACGAAAACACAACGTCACCTGACTACACTGACTCCTCCCCTCCACCTTTCCTACTCTTAGTCACGACTTCCAGGTGTGGAGAGATACTCGGTGTCTGAAACAGTACCCAAAAGGCAGGCAGATGAGAAGGAAGGGAAGATCATTTGCCAAAGACTCAAGGACTTTTCTGATTAGACCCAAATCTCATTCAAGCCTGCCACGATCTCTGGTCACTCACTAGAAAACATTAATAGTTAATGTCAGAAACTTCATTTTGGTAAGCCAAGCTGATGCCTAGCATCTATTTCTCCTGACACTATGTGGCTGGAAAAGCTCAGTATTCCTCTTCCCCAAGCTTTACACACTCCTTCACATGGCATGAACTTCCAGGTGAGCCAAATGACAATGTATGATGTTGTCCACACAGACCTCTACACAATATCTGCAGGGAATGGGCTGAGGGACTGGTTTCACGTAAGCCCAGCATAGGCTGTATAGAGGAAGCAGGACTGGGAGTTGGACTGGGGCTGGTAAGCCACATGAGCATAGGCTGGCCATGATTGCTCTCATTTGAATCAGCAGGTCTTATACCCAACATCCTCTGGGTCTTGGCCATGTCCCTTTGACTATTCTCCAGAGAGGACAGAGTGAGATGTGGTGGGGTGAGGACTCACCGTCTGTGGCCACATCTCCGATGGGCACGTTATGCTTCTGTGCCATGTATCCCAGGAAGGAGAAGACGACGAAGCCTGAGGAGAAGCTTGTCAGGGAGTTAATAGATGTGGTGATGATTGCGTCTCTGTAGGAACAAGACAGACTGTCCTGGTACCAGTTAAGCTGTGGCTCTGGGAAGCCAGCTGTTATTACCCATTTTCAGCATCTAGGGAAGGTGATGGGCAGGCTCGGAGGGAGCTTCTGAGAGGAGTACCACCAAAGAACCTATAACTGGGAGAACCTGTCTGGTACTCCTGGGTTCTGTTAGGGCTCAGGGCGGCGGAAAAGATGACCACTCCATGTCCCATTCACACATCCATTTTGGCACTGGGCCACCCCACGAGTGTCCCGGAACCTGGGCATGCATGGGTTTGGGAGCTGGAGAAACCAAGTTTTCATGCACACATGGGAGTGTCTGGTGAATCTACTCTAGGCACTGATAATCAGGGATGAGGCAAGTGTGGGGACCACTGGGAAAGTCAGGTCCCCCAGTTTACACTGGATGACCCAGCTCTTCGCTGTGGAGTGCTTGCCCTGGTATACACCTGGGCTCCAGGTACAACTGGCCTCACACTGGGGTCCATACCCCACCTTCCACCTTATTTCCCTTTGTGCAATCTCCTTTGGTGACTTGGAACCATTTTCCTGTGTTTATTCTGTATTTTCTGTGCCCACTAAGCTCAAAGAGGCCAGATCTCAGGACCAACTGGTTCTGTTTTCAGGAGGAAGTATTACAATTTTGATGTAGAACTTTCTGATGGGGTTCCAGCATGTAGTTGCAGGTGACTCAGGCTAAGTTTCTCAGCACCAGGGACATCCTCCCAGGCCCAGGATCCCTCAGTTTAGGCTATGAGAGAGTCAAGTGCCGTAGGTGAACGTTTTAGGTAAAACTGAACCCAGATCAAAGGAGAGGAAATTCATGGTGGGGGGGTGGGGGTCTGGGAGAGAGAGGATGGAGAATAGCAAAAGGGAGACAGAGATGAAGGTGTATTTGCAGAGGAAAGGCTGGACTGCAACCCTGTCCTGGAGATCTGGCTCTTCCCCCAAAGTGGCACACATCACCTCATGCCTCTATCTTCTTTAAAGGGAGACACAAGATTTTGTTGGAAGATGCTGAGTAGAGCCAGGCATGGTGTTTCACACCTTTAATCTCAGTATTTGAAAGGCTAGTGTGGCAGAAGGGGCATGGTAAGGCCAGCCTGGGATACATAGTAAGTTTCAGGTCAATTTAGGCTATACCATATATACCTATACCATATACCTGTGTCTCTGAACAGACAAACAACGCTAAGGAAAGAAGAAGATCTGTGTGGCTCAGAGATTCTGTGATTTTCCTCCAGGAATGCTTCACCTCCAAGAGGCAGACCTCAGGATCAGTGACACTGAGTAGGTTTTGCAAACCATCTCCCAGTGATGGTAGCTCAGGACTTACCTATAGCAGTTGTTGGTGAATTTATTGTAACTGGAGAAGGCAATCAGCACCCCAAAACCAATGCCCAAGGAGAAGCACACCTGGGTGGCGGCATCAATCCACACCTATCACAGCCAGAGATGGGAGAGCATTGAGACATGATTAGAGAGAGCCGTGGGATTCAAGTTCTGCCAGAGAGGGGAACGGGAGCTGTCACCAGGCAATCTTCCCATTAACACTCCATGTTCACCTCCAGCCGAGGGGGCAAAAGTTCTCAGCAAATGGGACGGATGCACATCCTTGGCAGTGGTAGGTAACTGCTGTCTTGGGAAACCAGCCTTCCTACATCCCTGACCTGAAAGGGCATGGGAAAGGGGATGTTGTATTTTGTATATCAACTTGTGGTTTGATGGGACACATAGAGCCCCAGGCCACCTGAGACCAGTCATAGTTGTCCAGCAATAGCAGGTCCATTTCTCTGAACATGAAAAGGAAGGTACAAGAGCTGATTGTTGTACCAAAATGACGAATTCGGGTGTAACCTACTTGGCTTGGGGTGATGTTAAGACCTAGGGATTCAGGCAAAAGAGCTCCCATGTAGCCTTGGTGGGAAGACTCTGAAGTCGTCTCCCAAGGCTCTACCATCTAAATCATTTGGGGGCTGGACAGTACTAGAATTTGTTTCTGAGTGCCATGTAGCCCAGGGCCCTCAGCACTGAGACAAGGATGTCAGAACCTGTCATTGGAATCTGCAGTGGACACACTGAGTATGTCTGAAGTGGCTGTCCTGAGCTCATGGAACAGAGGACCTGATGCTGCTGAGGAGCCTGGAACCCTGCACTGTGGGAGCCCAGACAACAAGGGATCTGGCATCTCTGTCCTTTGGGTAGCAGTGTCCAGAGCTTCAGACTATCCCAGTGTTGGGGACTGTGTGCTTGAGGACAGTTGGCCTCAGCATGGTGGGGAGGCTGAGTCTGGAGTGGTTGAGCAGGTGGTCGGTCAGTAGAGGGGTCTTGCCTTGCTGTCATAGCAAGCTCATCCATTGAGGTGGCTCAGGTAGGAACAGTATCACCAAGAACTCCCAGTGTTCACCCAGTTTATCCCCCCCCCACCGAGATTTTGGTGTGCCGTTAATCAGGTTCTCAACATGCACTTTGCTTGGACCACTGTCACACCCCACCCTGTGCCTCCATGGGCCCTGCTCAGAAGCCTGGCTGACCTTACCCAGAACACTCTCCTACAAGGTCTTAGAAACAGCTTCCTTTCTTTTTTTTCTATTTATATATTTGATTATCTAGGTACCTATTTCTGTCATGTATCATTTAATCATCTATTAGTAATCAAATTTATTAATATCTATATAGCATCTATCTACCTATTGTTTACCTATCTTCCATCCATCCAGTCTTACTATCCATCTTAATTTTTCACAACCGCTCATTTTTGTGACTTGCCTTTTTTTTCCCAGCATCTCACGTGCTGTGTCTCCCTGCTTTCTGTTGTGGGGAGCATGCCTGTTTGCTGAGACTCTAATGGCCTTCACTTTTTTTTCCCTCTCTCTCTCTTGAATTCTCAAACACGTCTTCCTGGCTTGTTCAGGTTCCCACACGGATGATGTTCATAGTCCTCCTGGGTTTTGTTCAATGTCACAGGTTCCCTTTGCTTTCCCCTACCTCTTCCTTCACTCTGTGGAACATGTATGTGCTGTCAAGCCTCCCCTCCACCTCCACACAGACTTATGCTGACACCATAACTCCCCCCTGAGAACTTCCTGACTGTGATCTCAGCCCATTCTTGCCTACTTCTGCCTCAGGTTTGTAGCAGGCAGTAAACTCCCAAAGGATCTTGTGACTCAGCCCCAGTATGGATCTGCACCCTTCCTGCCCTACTCCATTGGAGACCCACACACCTCCTATTCTAGCCTCAGTATCAGCAGAAACTTATACCCTTCCAACAAGAAACCACGGTGTTTCTTTCAGCTTCCCTATATTGCCTCTGGGTTTATCACCAGTCCCAACCCAGCCCACATGACTTCCAACAACTCCTCATGGAATTCTGTCACAACTGTATCTCCAAAATTGGCTGCTTTCATTGCTCTTCAAAGATGGTACTGCCTCTTTCCTCTCTCAGGAGCATCTCATGCAGCCTGGAAGAGCTCATCTCTCATGAGGTCTCCAAATCTTCTAACCTAGAAGAACCCCTTCTTTTACTTAAGAAACCTTCAGTGAATCAGGAATTCAGACTCCCAAAGGTGAACCCTGGTTCATGGGAACCTGAGGCAGCTCAGGCTTGCAGACAATTAATACATAGCCACAGACTGTGTTCTTAGTGACAACTTACACACACACACACACACACACACACACACACACACACACACACACACACACACACCCCTACCTGCTGGGACCATTACTATCAGAGGTGAAGAAGGTGAGGAGTGTTTAGGGTGCTGTGACTGTCACAGCTTTCCATGTCTGTGGAGAGCTAGAGACAGCCATTCCCTGTCTCCTTTCTCTCCATCCTCTCAACCCTTCCTCCACTAACCCTGCCTATGAAGGAGACATGTATACAGGTAAACAGGCCAGTCTGCATCTGATGGCCTAAAAGGATAGGAAAGAATTGATGCTGAGCCACAGATTGGGCCTCTGGACCATATGCAGGAGCCCTGTCACAAGCCCCACTGGCTCAAAGGACTGCCAACCCTGATGGGGGCTGCACTCACAGATGCCTCGCAGAGCCGATAGAAGTCCACACTAAGGTATGCCTTGATGCCATCCATGGCTCCAGGGAGGGTGACTCCACGCAGTAGCAAGGCCGTGAGGACCACGTAAGGCATGGTAGCTGTGATCCATACCACCTGGAAGAGAAGACAGTGTCTTCAAGGGGCCTAAGACACATGCAGTGGGGCCTGGGTGGGAGCTTACATTGATGCATCTAGGGTAATATGTGGAAAGGAGTGGATCCGAGGCATGAAGTCAGGGAAGGAGATACCTGCTATTATTGGAGGGTTCCTTGTGTTAGCGCATGCATTATAACATGTGTCAGGGTAATTTTGGTCAAATTTCCATGGATACCCATACTTACAACTGCCAAATTTTTCATCAGTAAGAAATGAAATAAGTCCGTGCTGTATACACCATTGTGTATTTTCTCAATGCCCTGCCCCAAGCACAACGTCTATCCTTATCCACCATGATCATGTGTCTACTGCTCCTGCCAAATCATGGTCACATGTCAACTCTAATTCAACCATGGCCATACATCTCCTTATCTATACGTGGCCATGTGTCCATGGTCAAATAACCATGGCTACCTGTCTTGCCTCAACTCAACCATAACCACCTATCTACTTTCTCACTCAACTATATCCATGTTTCCACCACATAATCTCATGTCCACCTACCCAACCATGGCCTCAGAACTATATACCCAGACAAGGTTACATGCTGACCTTGGCCTCATGACCACTCATCCAATAATGGCCACATATCCACTGACCATGGCCACTGTTCATCAACCCACCCATGGTTACATATCCATCCACCAACCACAGCCATATGCTACCCATTAACCATGGTCATATGTTAACTTACTCAACATGTCCACATGGCCACTTACCAACCATCTTACTCTATACAACTATGGCCATGTGTCTACCCACCAACTGTGACCACAGAGCTGCTCACAAACCATGGCCATTTGTTAACCCACCCACCCATTCCATGTGTTTTCAGGTCCTGTTGGCTTCCACCTCACCTTTCCTGAGGTCTTTACTCCTTTCCACAGGCTGAAGTAGAGCAAGACAATGACCAGCACCAGGCAGGCTGTGAGCTGCCACTGTGGAGGGCCCAGGTCATCAATACCGTGGCTCTGGTGGAGGTGCAGCACGCCACGTCTGGAGGAGAACAACAGAAGATTCTGGAGGGAGCAGTTGTCTCCCAGGACTGGAATTGGATGGCTGAACTAGTCCCTATCTGCCTCATCTTTGTCACATGGAAAGTACCTGGTATGATCTGACTAGAAATACCCCTTCCTGTTATGAAAGACTCAAGGCTGTCCCCTGAGTCACAGAGCTGCCTTAAGTTGGACAGAGAAGCTGGATGCCTTGCCAGGAAACCTGCAGGAGGTCAGCAACATACTGCTCTACCAACAGACCTGAGTTTTAGAGTTGGAAAGGAATTGGAAGTTTGGGTGTACAGAGAAATGGAGACCCTGGAAACCAGGAGTGAAGCTGCCATGAGCTGCTGTCTTGTAACAATCCCAGCATCCTTTTCAGAGGTAAAGCCAGGAGAGCACTGAGCAGTAAAACTGCACATGTAGGTTCCTGTGCATTCTGTATTGACTTCTCTCATCCTTGCTTACCTACTTCCTGCCACTTTAAGGAGGCTCCTTGAGGAAATGAACCAATGGGGGAACCACACACAGCTGCATCCATCTTTGATGGAGGCCATCATAAAGAGAATGTGTGGAAGGTACACTTGTTTCCAAAGAGCCTGGCAATGTGGAAGTGGCTGCATCGCCTTCACACAGCTCAAAGCTCCTCCCTATTCTAATGCTGCTTCTACCAAAGGAAGTGGAGGGATGTGTAGTGAAAGGAGACATCACAGCTCAGGTTTGTTTGATTGTGGGGTCAGATGGGGTTTCTCAGGAAGTCAATGCCCAGACTTATAACGAAACCCAACTAACCCTGACTTTCTGGAGATTTCTACCAGAAACAGAAATTATGGCGCTAAGGTGAAGAACTTTGACCCTATAGTCTAGAAACCACAACTGGGGTGGTGCTAGCTGTTGTCAGCAGGGGCAGTGCAGCAGTAAAAATCCAGCTCAACCTTCCCCTTACACTCCAGCAGTAGTTAGGGCCAGTGTCCCCAGACAGGGAACCCAGCGTGGTCAGGGCACCACCATTCACCATTCTTCTGATAGAGTATAATGGCTTGTTTATCATCCTGTCTGCCATGGGTACTGTGCAAGCTCTTAGCATGTGGGTAAGCAGTGTGAATCACCTGATCTAAATGAGACAGGCTAGAGTACTTCCTGGTAGAGTTACTGGCCCTATCTTGGCATCGAGGATTCTTAAGGTCCCTGCCCTTGCCCTGGGCTGCTGTCAATGCTTCCTTGCTTTGCTGTCCTAGTGGGACCTCATTTCTTAGAGCTTCTCAATGACAGAAAAAAATTCAGGATAACACCACCAAGTCTAGACCCATACAGTTTATTGTGTCCTTCTCCATGCCCCAATTATCTCAGAGCCTTGTGTCTCATAAGCACAGATTTTACCTGAGCCTTAGGAAGGGGACCATTTATTCTCTTTACCTGGAGGGAGGTATACAAAGAGTCAGAAGCAAGGGAAGCGGTAAGGGTGGGCACACAACCCTACATGCCACAACTGTGCAGCTCCTCCCAAAGGAGGAAAGTGGCGCTCTGATTATGGCCACATAAGGTCTGGATCCTGAAGCTACTACCCCACATGGCTTTACCAGCGATTGTGCTAAGGCACTATTGACATGAGTTGGACTACACTGCTTTGGTTTCATTCTGTGAAAAAAAAGGCTTTGATACTTTGGAATGCTTAAGATCCTGTGGTCTGGAAGCTGGGGAAATAAGTATGTAATGTACCTGTATCTGTATAAGTGTTAGGAACTGAGTTTGAATCTCCAGGTCTGCTGGTGCATATTTATAAACCCAGTGCTAGAGTGGGATTCAGGGGACAGGAGGATCCCTGGAGATCATTGGCCAGCTAGCTTAGTCAAATCAATGAGCTCCAGGTTCAGTGAGAGACCCTGTCTCAGAAATGATAACCTGAAGAGTGACTGAGGAAGATACCTGATGCCAGTCCCTAATCTCCACATGTGTGCACACACATAAGTACATGCACCCATATGAATATGCACACAGAAACATCCAATAAGGTGGAAAGTGATTAGAGAAGACAGCCAGACTTGACTTCTGTCCTCAGCATAGACATACCTATATGTGAATGTTGCATGTATTCACATATGTATGCACATCTGCATTGAGCACGTTCATACCCACATAAACATACAAATATACACATGTATGCACATCTGCATTGAGCACATGTTCATACCCACATAAACATACACATACACACATGTACTTGTAGGGAATATGCCCTTCTTGAAGCTCCCAGACAATGGGTTGGAGATAACCTAGGACTGCGACTTGGAAGAACGACACATGGGGATAAATCCAGCCAGTGCCCACTCCCACCTGCAGGAGTCCTCACCCCTGGCAGTGTGGGGCAGGGTTCTGAGATCAGTTCTGAGTCTCATTGCATACAAAGAATGGACTGGAGCTCAGAGACCCCAAGAAACTGCACGCAGCAGGGTAGATTCTTGGAAAGAAGGACCTTTCTAAGATAGATCTCCACAAAGACATCTGCAAGTGCAGGAAGTCCTCACTGAACACCAGAACTCAGTCTTCAGGAAACTGAGAGCAGGAGAAACATCCACTGGAGTAAGAACTGATATCACCATAGCTCACTCAGGGCTAAGAGTCATTCACCAGCCAGAGGAGAGGACTTATTGGCCACACAAAGCCATCAGATCACAGAGGTAGACTATATCCTTCAAGGGAAACTCCCAGAGCCATAACCACAGAGATTAAAGATGCAGAAAGACCACACTGCACCCACCCATCTGACCTTACAGACCAGACCTCGTGTTCCTAAAGGAAGACAACTGCCAAATCCTATCATATCGTAAAACCCACCAAATCTACTATCTAACAAAGACGACTGACTCCTCGCTGCATGGTAGCACCTGGTAATCCCTGTAAACCCAGTACTTGGGAAGCTGCAGCAGGAGGACCCCAAGTTTCAGGTCAACCTAGGCTTCAAGACCAAGATGGACATTTCCTGATGGCAAAGGGGAAAAATGAGTCAGAGCGTGGGGGTGACATGACCAGTCTTTGGTGTCCCACTAAGGCCTGCCTGCTACTCTCCAAGGATGCAGCAGACATGTTTGGTACTATTTTTTTTCACATCTGTTCCTGCCAACATCTTAGCTGTCAAATCCATGATGTGGCATCACACACACAGGAAGGTTAGACTGCTACCAGTGGATGCCTGTGTTAGAAGACACAGCTTTTCTGTCAACCATTAGCTTGGTCTTTACATACTCCACAGAGCAATGTACATTCTCTTCCTGTCTCCATCTCTGCCCTAGTCACCTTCGGTAGCTCAGTGTTTAGCCAGGGCTACAGGCCTTTGAAGAGCACAGGGTTGGACACCTCTGCTCTGTAGCCTGACTTTCAGACTTTCATGGTCTGACTTTTAAAAGATAACATTCTTTCCATTATTCTTTGTCAAACAAATCCATAGACTAGGCTGAGTGGTGGTGGTGGTGGTGTACAACTTTAATCCCAGTACTAGCCCAAAGCTAGAGCTCCCCTTCCTGCCAAGAAGCAATGCAGTGTCTTAGGCAGTTTCCTCCCACCTCACTATAGAGCCAGAACAGAACAAGTGTGCAATAGCCCAAGGTCCATCCCTCCTGAGGCCCCCATCAATAGAGTTTGGATAAGGACATATAAGATCATCCTTGCCATTCAGAAATATAATGCATAGGGACAGCAGCTCTGGTCAAGAGAAGGGATTAGTTCAACACAGCTTTGAGAACAACAAGGTGTATACGGGGTGTCCTCAGCGCTGCTCTGAGTTCCCAGACCTGCCAACCCTCCCACTCCCCAGGCTGACAGAAAGAATTGACCGCTCACTTACTCAAAGTACTCAGCAGCAGGCGTGGTCCCAAAGGTGTCATTGAGGCCCAGGCCATCACTAGAGTTACTGGCATGGGCGTCAGAGCAGTTGGGGCTGTTCCAGGTATTGTTGCAGTGGATCCATGGGAGGTCCATAGTGAAGGACGAGAAGAAGTAGTGCAGTGCCCACGCGATGATGACATTGTAGAAGAAGCCCACGTAGAAAGAAATGAGGATGACGGTGAAGCCCACGCCTGGTGATGACAGTACAGCCACCATCAGCATGATGCCCCTTCTCATTATCTACTCACTCTGAGTTGGTGCACTGACATCCTTTGTACTCCACACACCTTAAAACACATAGGAAGGATGGATACCAGACCTTACTCTGTGATTACAGAGAAGGGATTGCCGCTTTTTGTTTTAATCACCTGTATCTTCCAGAGATATCAATATGTCTCAGAGAGGCATCGAGAGCCAGAGGGGTCATCAAAGGCCATTAAGAGTATCTGAGACTACCCTATGAACATTCAGCCCTAGGGTCAGCCATAAATACACTAGACCATCCAGTGCCACCCATAGATATACAGAAGTATTAAGGGTATTCATTTCTACTACAGTCATTTAGGAAGCAGTCAGGGTCATTCAGGCCCGGTTATGGCCACCTACAGCTTCTTTGGATCATTCAGGGCAACCAAGCATAGTCATTTATGGCTACTAGATCCAAACCAAACATTTAGAATCATCCATAGCTATTAGAGTAAGTAGAAACAACCTTGCTAACAGAGTCATCAAAGGCCACCTACAGTTACCTGGAAATGCCCAATGCTGTCCAGAGCCACCATGAATCATTAAAAGGAAACTAGGCACTTTATGGTCACCCATAAGTAAGTACCAAGGTCCATTCAAAATGAAAGGTTAAACAAGACTTCCCATGTTTACACAGGGAAATCTAGGGTTATCCAGAATCATACACTATCCACAGCCATCTATATTCATCCATACCTGTTGGGGTCACCCAGAATCTCTTAAGACACAGCCATTAACAACTACTTTCACTCTTCAAGACTACTCAGGATAAACACCATCATTTAGTGTTCACAGCCACCTAGAGCTGCCCAGATCATGCATGACCACCTTGTGTCTCCCAGGCCATGCATGATTACCCATGGGTTTCAAGGATTGGTCAGAATCAAACAAGACCATCTAGTTTCACCTACAATGTGTGAGACTACCTAGGACTTTCCAAGATCACCCATGGGTACACTTTACTACTTGGGATCATCCAGGGCTTGGTATGTTCTTTTCAAGATCTCTAAACCTGGAATTTGGGATTAGCCATTTAGTGGGTGGTCCTGTAAACTGGAGTAGAACACACAGGTAAGCAGTTTCCAGAAAAGGGCCATCCTGAGCAGTGGGAAGATGGTCAGGCAGTTAGCAGGCTCCTCACAGTGGTCAAAGGGACTCCTCCTTGCATAGGGCTAAGTAAGCATAGACATGTTCCTGCACTGTGGCTCATTTGACTGAAATTCATGCAGAATTTTCTCATTCAAACATCCCCTCTCAGCTTTGCAGATATACTTGTTTTGGTTTAAGACTTTGGTGAGCTTTATTAAAACCTTGTTAGGTGCCATGCCTTTTCTGGTCTACTGGAGGCTAGGGGAGGAGTATGGTTTCAAGGTGTCTTTTATAAGTTGTAGCTTAGTTGCTCTGGATGGTTTTAACCTTTTGGAGATGGTATGTTCTTCCTTCCTTCCTTCCTTCCTTCCTTCCTTCCTTCCTTCCTTCCTTTCTTCCTTCCTTCCTTTCCTTCCTTCCTTTTCTTTCTTTGTTTGATTTTGAGACAGAGTTTCTCTTTGTAACAGCCTTAGCGATCCTGGAATTCACTTTGTAGAGCAAGCTGGGTTTGAACTCAGAGATCTACCTGCCTCTGCCTCCCGAGTACTGGGATTAAAGGTGTGGACCACCACAGCCTGGCTGGAGAAGGCATCATTAAAATTATTTTCCTTCCATAAAGGCAAAGAGAAGGCATTAAAAGTATATTTGCGTTAATCCCAGCAGAGTAAACGATCCTTCTTGAATGTACTCAAAAATAGAAATAGTAAAACCCAAATGGTTTCCTTTGGAAAGCCTTCTCTTATATAGAATTACTCAAGATTTAATAACTCCACACTGCAATTCCATGCCGCAAACTAAAGGTTTTGATTTACAGTGAACTCATCAGGTAGCCATTTTTGGAAGTCATGCTGTTGGTCAACCATATTGCCAAGAAGCCATGTTGTCAGACTCCACATTTCTCCAAATTGCATAGGTGAAGGTTTCCCCTGAAAGTTGGCTAATGGTTAATGCCCCGTTGGAAACTTTTTACAGTTAAAACTGTGTATCTTAAGTCCTTAGCTTAAAACTTTAAGAACTCAAAAGAAACCTTGGCTGTGTACTGTGGTGGAACGTTAGTGCAGTGTCTGAAGAAACAGATGACTGTGCCTCTCATCCTTTGGGGACTGCTGCTGTGTGAGGCAGGAGTGTTCCATCTGGGCTTTACAAGAGAGTGACAAGAACATCTTCCTTCACAGTGGAATAAACTATTCCACCAATGGGTGTGGTTTCCAGAGCAAATGAGCTTGCAAGAGACTACCCCCCCCCACACACACACCCTGTGTGTCTGTTCAGCTGTTCCAGTTGCTGGGAAAGGAAAATGTCTCCTTAGGTAGGCAGGTACAAGAGTTGACTATTCAGTCAGTCACTCTGAACTCTGCTCTGGAAGAAGGAACCCCAGAAAGCCACCAGCTTCAGCTGCTGAAGTGTAGCCTGTCCCCAACCTGCCAACACTACTGGCTTCCTCCTTTATGTCCCATAAGACAGCACCCTTAGAAAGCACACACAGATCTTTTTGTTTGTTCTTATGGATACAGAGGATATACCTTAAATCCTCAGGAGACTGAGGCAGGAGGATCACTGTGAGTCTGAGGTCAGCATGCAGCATGGGATATAGAATAAGACCCTGTCTCAAACAAACAAAACCAAAACAAAAAAAGACCATCTTGTGATGACTATTGCCATACAGCATATGTTCTATCTAATGAGGGCTTCACTGGCTGCCCCTCTCATAAGCACAGGCTGCAAAAGTTACCCAGCTGAAATGAAGATAGGAGAGTGTTCTCATCAACCACGATGTTTTTAGTCTCTCTCTCCTGCCCTCTCCGTGTGTGTGTGTGTGTGTGTGTGTGTGTGTGTGTGTGTGTGTGTGAGAGAGAGAGAGAGAGAGAGAGAATGAATTTCCATGATTGCACACAGATGTCGAAGCTAGAAGTTGGCTTCCTTGAGTGCAGCTTCCCCAGCCTGAGTAAGAGTAAGGAGCTGAAGAGAATGTCTCTGATTGAGATTCCACACCTGGGTTTCATAGGCTGTTTCCACAGCCCACAGCCATGTTTCTGTTCCAGCATGGCCCTCCTACAGACTTGTCTTTGCAATGGTATGAAAGCCAGCCTAGGGAGTAGGGGATTGTCACTTGGTTGTGCTCACTACCCACCTTCTTGAAGGTCTCTCTCCCACCTAGTTCATAGGACCATAGTCTTTTCTACAAAGCTATTGGTATCAACGCCTGCTCAATTCCACTGTGCTCCAAGCCAAGCTATTAGCATTGCATAGTACCTTGCTGCTCTTTGAAATGGTTTACTGAGGCTTTACAAACAACAAAGGAAAAAATGCTTTAGAGGTTTTACTGAAAAGCACTTTTTGAGACAAAAGTTTATGCTGCCTGAATTGTCCTAGAACTTACAACACTCCTGCCTCAGGTTACTTAGTGCTGGGATTGTGGCAGGACACCATTACTAATATCCGGAGATGGATGGAGGACTTTGTGCTCTGGCTAGGTCCCTGTGAGCTAACTAGCTTTCCTCTACTGCCCACAGTCCCAACTACTTTCCTGGTTTCCTGTTGGACTTTCAGTCCTGTAACTCCCAGTGAAAACTGAGGAACTATATTGGTTATATCTTGTGGAAAGCTTAGGCCTTCTCCACAATCAAGAGGCATGAGTCTCCAAAGAGAGAGAGAGAGAGAGAGAGAGAGAGAGAGAGAGAGAGAGAGAGAGAGAGAGAGAGAAGAAAAGAAAATCCGGCATTAAATGCGTGCATGACTACACGTGGCCACCAACCCTTGACATTTTCTCTATACAAGGATAGGCAGGCTGGGTCTTAAATTCAGTTATCAACTGCCACCTGAATGAAAGATTTAGTTGAAGCTCATCCTGGCTACTGCTACAGCCTCAGAAGTGGTGTCTACTCCCTGGGTCACTCCCTAGCACTGCTAGATAGAGTCTAGGAGAACATGTCATGAGTCATTCAATTTCATCTGTGGCTCTTAGACTGAGTCCCCTGACATTGACCTAATAAAGTTTATATAGTAAGTGGATGATGAAACTCCTCTTCAACAAAAGAATTATCTCCTAGAGTCACAGGGTTCCCAGGTGTCACAGTGGTTCTCCATCAGGATCCAGTGATGATGTCTGACAGTCAGTCCTATGCAATTCTTGTAAGTGCTGGCTCCTACATTTTTATCACAATGGGGACATCCAGCGCCAGTGTGTGTCCCCAGAAGGTCTGGATGACTCTGAAGTTGTGCATGCAGGTAGGTTTTGGTGAGGCCCCTCTTTACAGTTTCATTTCAGAGTAATCTGGGGGAATTACTTTAGCCTGGGGGAAAAGGTACCCAACACCTACAAGATGTAAATCCCAAACCCAGCAGTCTGCTATCTATGCCCAACAGTCTCTGTGTTTCACATTTCCACTGGACAAGAGTAGCATTTCTATTAAGAGCATAGCCTGAACAGCAACCCTTTGTTGCTCCTACCCAGAGCAGCAATGTCTGGTCTTGAGTGTCAAACACTGGTCCACAGACACCGCCCTGGGAACTGGGGCTTTGCTTTCTTCCATGCAGTCACTGCTCAAATACTTCTGAGAAAACCCAATGCTAGTCTTTCAAGAATCATTTTCTCACCAAGTGCCAATGATTGGAGGGCAACCTCACTGGATCCCTTCCAAGAAGAGTCTTGAAATCTCCTGGAACTTCACCTCCTTGGGATGGCATAGGGTCAGGATAAGTGTGCTCGAAAGCTGGCTGTGGTAAACAGGGCTGGGGTGGACCAGGATTCATTTTTAACACATGAGAAGTCCTTGGACTTCTCACTGTGTCTCCCATGTAGAAGGCATAGTGTCCTCTACCTGGGATCTCCTGGGAACAAGGAAGGTGACATCTGGAAAGTGACAACCATTCGGCAGGCCACCTGGCTCAGTATAAAGTATATCTGTCTAATAGTGTTGAAGCCTTATATAAACATTCTTGGGGCTCACTGAACTATATATATTGATAGATATCTGATTGATAAACACATGCTGGTAGTTAGATGATTGATAAATAGATGATTGATAGGTAGATGATCGATAGGTGAACAGATAGATATGTATATAGATAAATGAGTGATGATTGGAGATAAATGGTTGCACAGATAGTTGGCTGATAAATGAATAGACAGATAGATGATAGGTTAAAAGGGTGCTTGCTGAATAGACCATAAACAGGTAAGTAGATGACTGATAGAAAGATGACAGATGAGTAGTTTTTAAAATATTTTTACCATTTTAATACCCTGACAAATTTACCACCACTTAGCTGCAGGGCAGCCTGGCTTAGGAACAAGTTAATGCTCTAGAAGATTCCTGGTCATTACAGTCTTTAAGGTAGGACCCATATTAGAAGAGCATATACATATGCCCACATAGTTTAGGAAATCAGGACCTGTCCATAACATCATCTTGTTCTGAAGCTCTAGAGACATGGCCATGTCCCATGGGGGTCCACATGCCTGCACATTACCTTTCAGGACAGGACAGATCTTCCAGACTCCAGCAGCTCCTTCTCTGTTAAACTGTCCAAGGGCCAGCTCCATGTAGAAGAGGGGCATCCCAGCAATAACCATGAAGAGCAGGTAGGGCACCAGGAAGGCACCTGTGCATAGGACAGAAGCTTCAGCTTGGGACCACAGAAGGGAGGCTGCTTTCATTATCGGTATGTGGGCCCTGATGTTGTACCTTTAAGTATGATCTTGTCACCCAGCTTCTTGTTTAGAGTGGGGGGCTCTCTGAATAGCTAACACCCAAGGGGATATCCTGGATGGGTGATAACCTCACCTCCTTGCTTGTCCCAGCTACAGTCAGTGTTGGACATGTTCTGCTCAATGCCTCTGATTGTCACCATACCCCACATCCTGAGCTCAGCCAGAAGCAAGGCAGTCATGGCCTGGAGTCACTTCTCAGCATTACTCCTAGCACTGTCTGCCTCTTCCTGCCTGGGTTCCACTTCTGCCCCTTGAGAGTTATGGTCCTGGGATCAGTGACCTAATCCTGACATTTAGAGACTGCTTCTCTGGAGACTAGAGAGTTTCTGCTGCCAGGAGTTTCCTGGAGCCAAAGTGTAAGGCTTGGTTTGATTAAACTCACTCCACTCCACAAAGGTTACACCCCACCAGAGTCCTCTTGCTCTCCTCAATCTGAGTGAGTCAGAGCTTAGCCACAGCTTTCTCCTGAGGTCTTGATGAGGAAGGTGGGAGTCTCTTTACCTGTCTTTGGGTCACTTGCTGGAGATGCTGAGGCCTTGGGCCCCTCACCTTCTAGAGCACATAATTAAGCAATTGTGCTCATGGATTTGCCTGAGCCCTTCCTTCCCAAAGCAATGCTTCATATCCTGCAGCCAGTCAGGGAGACCAAGCCATGGAAATAGAGGCCTTCGGTGCTCAACTGGAATCTCTGTTAACCCTGCTCCTTGCCTTCTTTTAAGCTTCACTGCACAGCTATGGCTCATAGCTGAGACAAGAGAGTGGGGGAACCAGGCTTGCGCACATAGACCCATAATCCCAGCTACTCCAGAGGCTAAAGGCAGGAACACCGCATGTTCAAAGCCCACCTGATCTACAGAGGGAGTTCAAGAACTGCCTAGTTAACAGTGAAATCCTGACTCAAACATATATATATATATATATATATATATATATATATATGGCTATGCATGTGACTCAGTGGTATAGAGTGCTTGCCAGTATGCACAAGGCTCTGGGTTCAATTCCCAGAACTGTCATTAAAGAAAGATGGAAGGAAGGAAGGAGGGAAGGAAGGACAGAGAGGAGAGACAGACAGAGACAGAGACATGAGGGAGGGGAGACATAGAGGAGATGGGTATATTTCAGTTCAATTCAGGGACATCCTCTGCCTTTCTAAGTTTAACTTCAAATTGTACAAAGTTCAACAACTATGAATATTGCTGAAGTTGTCTTAAAACTTGTTCTTTTGGTCTTTTAGAATTTTCTTTATAGAGTGAAAATACCAGTGGAAAGAGATGTCAGGACCTTATGTCTCCACCCACTCCCTTCGCCTTTCTGCTCTCTGAGATCCACATTCCTTGGCTGCCAGAGTTCCTGAGCTCTTCTGCTTGGGAATGCTGAAGGCATTGCTGCTGGTGAGCAGCCTCACTGCCCTATGATAGCATCTTCTGTTGTATGCATGGTTCTGTGTATACAGGAGCACGTGAGCACCTGTGAGACCAGGCATCATTCTTGGGTGTCATTCCTCAGAGCTGCCCACCTTGATTTTTGAGACAGTGTCTGTCACTGGCCTGATGCTCTCTGGTTAGGCTAGACTGAGACTAGCTGACTATCAATTTCCAGGGTTCTACTTGTCTCCACCTCCCTAGTGCTAACTAGCATTGCAAATGTGTGCCACCCTGCCCTGTCTTTTTTGTTTGTTTGTTTGTTTGTTTTTTTGGTGGTGGGGGTGGGGGTTGGAGATCAAAGTCAGGACTTCATGCTTGCACAGGAAGTGCATTACTGACTTAGTTATCTCCTCGGCCTTCACTGTGAGCATTTCTTGAGAGCACAGCCCCACTGGACCATGGCTCCCTTGGTCTCCACTGCACTCCTCACACCTTCTGCTGTAGCCCCACCCTTAGAAGGCCCAGGAGGCCAGGCAACACTCACCTCCACCATTTTTGTAGCACAGGTAGGGAAACCTCCAGACATTGGCCAGGTCCACAGCAAAGCCGATGACTGAGAGCAGGAAATCAATTTTCTTGCTCCAGGTCTCCCGCTCTTGAACCCCCACCGGTGTCTGTGGTGGGTTGATGAGGGTGGAGTTGGTCAGCTGCACTCCATTCTGCTCCTTGACCAGGATGAGCTCCACCTCTCTGGGGCCCATGGCATTGGGCTCTTTAGCCGGGGCTACCACAGAGGACATTGGTCCCACCGAGCATTTGCTCTTACTCATGGGTAGGCTGGAGCCCAAGGAACTCTGCTTTCTTCTTGACCTTCGGTCAACATAAAGAAACACAGCAACACATAGGGTCAGTAGCCATGTCTACAGTATAGGTACAGTGTTGAGCACAGAGACCTGAGGTAGTCCAAGCACCTGAGATACCATGGCCAGGATGAAGGACAGCTGGAGAATGTTCATAAAGATGGGAGAGACTGGCTATGGAGACCACCCCTACAGTTCCCTTTCCTGCCAAAGCCTGCATTCCTATTAGTGCAGGCTTGTGTGGTTTCTAATTTGTTTCCTAATAACAATCCCAGGTGTTGCTTGTATTGCTTATCCACAGTCCCGTGGAACAATTTTATACCTTGCCAATAGCATTCCACTCACATCAGTCTTTGTAAGGCTGTGTGGCTTTCTTTATACTTAGCAATACAATAAAAAGCAAAATGGATAGAACCAAAAGCAGCCACGGTAACTGAAAATTGTGGTCAGTTTCTCCAAGGAGCATATACACAAATCACCCGGCCCATGACTATGGCTTCACAGGCCTTTGAGCTGACAGAGTTACCAGAATGTCACCAGGGGAGGGATCAGTCTGCCACTACACTAGTGACACGCCCAAAGAAAGCCTTTCCTATGCTTCCACCCAGCCAGGGCCAGGGCGCTTAAGTGAGGCAGCAGCCCTCACACCCAATGACAGCCTGTTTCCACTGAACTCAGACGAGCACACTGATGGCAGCCTGACATCTGGGTGGCTGCTCTAATGAGGTGACTTTCCTCTGCATCCCTAAACAAAAACTCCTGACAGAAGTTATTTTATGCACCACTTCTCTGTGGCCTCTTTATCCTGGTGACAAACCCAAATGCAAATTCCTCTCACATGTCAAAAATGGACTAATGGGTTTGCAGCTGCTAGGGAGCAGGTAGGATTGCCGGAGGAGGTTGGATATGAAATGGGCAAGGAGCATAGCAAAAGACCTGGTCCCAGGTTCTGCTCCCTGCTCTATTACAGTTCTGTTCCCCACTCTACTCCTCAACTCATGGCTCAGAGCCGAGGTTTGGGCACAGACAGCAAAATGGCCCCTGGGAAAACATGTTTCTTCACCAGCTGGATCAGGAAACAGGTGGCTCCTAAGCCAAGGTTCTCTGACATTCTCCACAACCTGAATTCAGCCCTGGGCTCACAGAAAGACAGGAGAAGGTAGGGGGAGGGAGAAGGGAGATGGAGCTTTTGGTGTGTTGTGAAAATAACCCCTAGGGGTGTGCATCTTCCAGATTCCAGCCCCTCTAATAGCTTCAATCCACCACCAAGGGTTCACGAAGTCCAGCCTCAGCCATAGACAGGCCATGCCTCCCTCCCAACCCCGCCCCGGGAAGTAACAGCAACCTCCTGTGAAGAAGGTCTATGAATCTGGGTTCTGTGGAACCCTACACTCCAGGACAGGAGCTGAGCGCACACGCCTTAGTTCTGTGTGGAAGGAGCTGCTCTCCAAAGTTCTGGCTGTTGGTATCTTGGACCCAGAGCCCGGGCGACTCTCGTTCCTGCACCTCACTCCCCGGCACAGCCGTCCAGGATCAGAGCGGGGCAGGGGTTATGGAGATGCCACCTCCAAGGATGCGCAAGGATCGACCCTGTTCTTACCTGCCTCCTGCGCTGGCCTCCAGCTCTGAGGTCCTGTAAGCCTTCAGTCCCACTTCACAGCTCTGGCGGGTCTCAGCCTCAAGCTCTTATCCAGTCGCGGGGTCGGTCGGCCTAGCCCCGCCCGCCGTCGGGGGCGCCTGCTGGCACTGGCTCCGCCTCTCACCCGCCCTGGGTGGGCGGAGGACAGGCTAGGCAGCGCTCCTGCATCTCTTGGGTATTAGGACGGCTGCGGGGAGCCAGAGACCACTATGCCTGGGCGAGCCAGTGTCTTGTGCGGCCAGAAAGCTTCGGCCACGTGGGAGCAAGGTATCTAGGTTGGACGCTTGTGGACTAGACGGACAGTTGGTTTCCAGGACGGACCAGTCTTGGTCTCTCATCCCTGCTGCTGCTCCTTGGGTTATCTTGCCAGCGCCTGCAAGGGGCTCCCAGGCAACTGATTCCAGCAAAGCCGGGAGAAGCAGAGTAGCAGGGCGAAGTGGCCAGAGCCTGGGGGACTGCTTGGAGCTCCCAAGGCTCACCCGAGTCTCCCCACTTCTCCCTTCGATGCTGTACGACTATCCCATTTTGCTCCCGTGTTCCTGAGCAACCTGCTGACAAGATTCTCCAATTCGAGCTCTGTGTGAGCAAAGCAAGTGGGACGCCCCTCACAGTCCTGTGGTAGTGTTCCTAGCCAGCTCACGGTGTGTCTTGCCCCTGCCCTGTCCAGTTTTCTCAGGTTCTTCTCATTCCCAGAGTTCTGACCTTACGATCTAAAGTATCTTCCAATCTGTCCTGACTCGCCTCTATCTCCTTTCTCAGGTACCATGGTCAAAAGTGTGTGCTTGTAGTGTGTGCTTGTTTCCAGCCCACCTCAGCGATCTAGCTTGGTTCCCGAAGCCTCTCCTGAACATATTTTTACAAGGATCCAGGCCGTCTGATTCAAACCAGGAGGCCACCTCCAGTCAGCCTGAGTCAGAAACCTATCATATAGGAGGGACCTATCATATAGTCTGTATGGTCAATATCCTGCTTCAGGGCCCAGAGGACTAGGAAATGGAGTTCTCCTGCCCAGATGTGTGTGACATGCGGACACCTGGGGAGGTCCAGGACACTCTAGGGTAAGCAGCAGTGTGATTGATCCCTTTTCTCAGAACCAAAGTCCAAACTTCCTCTCTGCTCCTCCCTTTCCTGAACTCTTACCTTCTCGCACCCTTCTCTTCCCCACACTTCTCTCTTCCATTCATCCCTCCTTCCCCTTTCTGCCTTCCCTCACAGTAGCTGAGAGCTTTGCCGGGAGCATGGGGACCCTGGAGCAGGTGTCTTGCCTACAGGACCCACTGAACCAATTCCCTTGCAGAATCTGTTTTCACTTGCAGCCCTCACATGGGCTGGGCCCTCACTCACCTGTTGGCTTCTCTGTGCCCATGTCCTTGAGGCCCCCAAACATGGGGATGATGCCAGACAGGAAACCCCCAGAGATGCTCTTCCATGCAGATTAGAATGCCAAGGGCAGACTGCCATGGCTGACATGGTCAGCTGGAGCTGCTGTAAGGAAACGCCACACAGCTTTGGAGACAGTCAACATTTATTCCTGTAAAGGCTTAGAAGTCTCAGGTCCCCAGGGCCACAAGTGTCTGGGGAGGGCTGCTCCCAGATGGCAAATGTTAAGTTCTCCAGGTCTCCTCAGGGCAGAGGTGAACAGAGCTCTCTCCATGGCCATTTTATAAGGCACAAATAACATTTCTGAATCCGAGCCTTTGAAACCTGATCACCACCCAAGACCCAATTCTGAATACCACCTCACACCAGAGGGTATGCTTTCTACCTATATATGGGGTTGGGGGAGTGGTTTCAGTCCTTCACACTCCATCTGGTAACAGCACTCCAGGAGATGCTACCTCAAATCTCTGATGTCCCCCTTCCTTGCAAATACAATTCAATGCAAATATCACTTACATTCAAAGAGCCTGGCTTCTTTTCTGGACCTCACAAACAAGTTAATAATACACTTTGAGGTCGCTGAAGACATGACCTGCTATTTTGTAATCATCATGTTGAAGTTTGACTTGCCTTTAAGAGAACAATGTAACAACTAACAATGCAACAACTAACCTTTCTTGCCTCAGTCTCCCATGTAATGCACAATCACAAACTATGGTAATACATGACTTTAATCTTAAGTTACAGGCTCTTCCATGACTATGACCCAGAGCAATGAATGTGTGTATGTGTGTGTTGTGATAATAATTTGTTGAAAGTAGCCAACAGCCTGGAAGCAACCTTATACAGCAAATACCCTTCACAATCGTTGGAAGCAACATGTGTATATAGGTTGATAAAGTATCTTTGTAATACTGAGTATTTCGAGGTCAATTAGAATCACTAATACCTTGCAAAACTCACTTAAGGAGTTCAGCAAGGAATCTCTCATTTCCCATGCCATGCTTTTTGTTCTGTTAAATAAATACAGGCAGAAGACTCAAGGAGAGAAGAGGAGGATTCCAACTTGAGCTCACTAATCAGTCAAACTAATCCAAGGGGAAGTGTTGAATTTTCCTTAATGTGACACCAGAGCACTTTGATGACTCTGAGGTTATCTTTAGTGTGTTTTACCAACACAATGACCAGTAGCACTTCTGATGTCAAGAAAGGGGCAGGAACCCACCATGGGCCCAACTGAAGCCATCAAGAAAACAAATGGCTGAGTAAGGAAGGAATTGTGGGAATAACTAAAGAGGACATTTAAGGATACAGACACAGAACACAACTTAGCATCATACAACCTACAAAACAGACAAAAGAAAGAAAATATCAAAGGGTGAGGTGGCACACAGCCAAAACACAGCAGTTCAGGAATGAGAAACAGTGATGGGAGTAATCGCATGTCACCTATATTTAGAGTCAATATCCCATATCTATCTAGCCCTCTACTCCTGCCTCACACCTGACTAACTGTGCAGCTAGGACAATGGAACTTTTCATGTTCTTAGAGCAAAGGGGGCTGGACCTTTAGTCTCACCACAAATGTCAGGGAGGTCATATGTCCACCTCACTTTCTGGGCTTGTACAGGTAGATGCAGTGTGGTTGACTCTGAGTTGATCAATGAACAGCCCATCTTTGCATGCCGGAGCTTTGGCTAAATGCAGAGCCCAATTCCTTACAGTTGTTGCTGAGGCTGTTGACTCAAAGCACTGGGTGAAAACAGGTGGTGCTAGGGGAGTTCTGGAATGAGGATAGAAAGGGGAGAGAGGGTAGTGGGAGGGAATAAGGGAGAGACAGCTAAAATTAAGGGACATTTTAGGTGTATTATGGTAACCTAATATAGTAGAAACTTCCTAAAACATATGTATATATGAAGATGTTCTAAACAAATTTGACAAATAATGGGAGACAGAGTCCCAACTGGCCATCTCTTGTCACCAAATGAAGTTCCCAGTAGTGGGTTTGG